GTTCAGTTCAGTTCAGTTCAGATAAAATAAAAATCTAAAACATTTAATTCTTCTTAATTCTTTTTTCCCTCCTGGCCCATATAGATTAAATCCTGTATATGCCTTTTAAATACTTTTTATAAATTGAAAAATTAAGTAAATATATTTTATTATAATTGCATGAAAAATAAAAAGTGGCTTTATTCAGATAATGATATTTTATTAAAAAGGTTTTAAAGTTTTTTTTTATTTAAAAACCACGATTTAACGTTTTTTTTCCCTGTAAACTTTAGGTTTCCCAAACTCAAGGGGGGGGGGGGGTAATATTTGATTTGAAAAACGTTTTGTATAGAAAATTGATTAAAAGGAATTGATAAAAGAAAATAAAACTGACCAAGTCAAAAGGTTTTAATTAGAAAATGGGGGGGGGGGGGATGCTTTCGGGTCTTCTATACGAGTCACTACGGTCTTTCGAAGAAGATGATTTTAAAATAATTATGACATTTTATTTGATGAAAAAAGATTGGGTTTTATCGGCTATGCTCTTGTTTTTAAAAAAGTATATTCTTATGCGTCATATATACTTCCCTCTGAGTCTGCCGCGCGTATAGTAAATAATATATTTTTCCAAAACCTTGATTTTGAAACATCTTTTACACGTTTGATGATGCGGAGAATTTCTCTCGAATTTTTTTGAACCCAGTGCAGCTGACACAATAACACCTTGGCTAACTGCAGTTATGACTTACAGTGGTCGACGTTTATATCAATACAATAAAGACGACTTTTAAATCAGGTTTTGATTTATAACCAGCTTTGTTCAAATTACAAGCTAAAAGTAAACAAAGAGAAGCTGTAAATTGACAGCATCTTTTTCATGTTTATGTGTGTTTTAAAAATCAAAAATTAAAATAAAAGTCGTCTTTATTTTATTGATGATTACCACGACGACTGTGTGATGAAGGTTAATAGTTAAAAAAAACCAAAGTTTTATCATTAAAAGTAATCTAAACTTACAATTGAAAACTTGTCAAGTACTTTAACTTTAAGTTTTCCTTAAAGGGACTGTAAGACGTAATTTCACATGACCCAACATTTGTAGAGAGTCGTGTCTGATTCACAACAGTGTCCTTTAAACTGATCATTGATCAAGGACAACCGACGAACGGAAGTAGAAAAAAAATTATTCCCATCTGAATTTTCTAAAACCGCGTTAGTCTAAGAATATTAGGATCGATGAACCGTTAAAGGTTTCAACGGAACCGATCCTGTACATTTGTCTGGAGGATCACTTGAAATTACGCACTCAGTCCCTTTACATCGAGGCTGTTGTCAGGGCAAAGTCTTCCGTTAAACTATACAAACTCCAGAGAATGGTAGATAGATAGATAGATATTTATATATAGAGATATATAGATAGATATATAGATAGATAGATAGATAGTTATACAGATAGATAGATAGATAGATAGATAGAGAAGGAGGATTGGTTTTGACATATCTTGACATTCTGGAAATACTACAATATTTACTTTTAGGAGAAAATATAAATTATATCATCTTTTTAGATCAATTTTTGTAGATTACAAAAGTTCTTCCTCTTGCATCCTATAACAAAAGAAATAAAAACCTGAATTTATTCTTCTGATCCTCTTCGAAAAAGTTTCAAGAACTTTTAACTTAACCAGTAAACCATTAAGCTTTCATTTTTAAAAGAGAGAAAGAAATCAAATTAATGGCAGCAACCATGGACCATAGAAACACAAATTAGTGTAGTAAACACCTACTCCAAAACAAGTTCTCGAAATGTATCTATCCAGGCTCCGCTATCAGAGTCAACCAGAGATGAAATTTTAAAAGCTTAAACCCAAGTAAAGCTCAAGTGAAGACCCGGGTTTTGGATGGCTTTGAGTTTAGTAAAAACCAACCATCTTGGGTTTTTTTTCTCTTAAATGCAGCTGATGATCATAAATTTCGTAAAATATTTTATATTTGTACATTTAAAATCTTGGTAATTATTTGTGGTGTCAAATTTTATTAAATATATAAAATAAACATACTATGAAAATAATGTATCTACATACAGTTTGAATTTTCGAAATTTACATCTCCTTGTTACAGCTGATCTGACGACATTCTGTTTGCTGCAGAGAGAAAGCTTGCCAAACAGTCTCTCATTGGTCGAATCAGAACCAATCCTGACTTGGGTTCTATCTAAGCCCGAGTTTGGATTTTACTTGGGTTTAAGCTTTTAAAATATCATCTCTGGAAACAACCCACCTGGCTCTAAATGCCACACAGGGACTCAAGCGTAGCTATCTAACAAGCTATTTGTTCAGTGCTCTAAATGCCACACAGAGACACAAGCCCAGCTATAAAATGTCATTATATATAGGTCTACAACATAAATAAATTGTTAAGAATGTACAGGTTTACAGAATATCATGTTTACACGATATTTGCTACATTAGAAAGAAACGTCGGAAAAACAACTTTAAGGGTTGGAGTGAGAAACTTGAGACAGAGTATCGCAATGAAACCCAGTATCGGAAACCCGGGTTTATGAATGGGGTTCGGCAGTTTTGTTGATTCTTATGTTTTTGTTAAAGGGAGTGACCGGCACTGTATACTAATTGAACTGAGAATTTGTGGAAACATTTTTTAAGGAATCATTTGAGACCTATGAGACGTTATTACGGTGCATATTTGAGACCTATGAGACGTTATTACGGTGCATATTTGAGACCTATGAGACGTTTTTACGGTGCATATTTGAGACCTATGAGACGTTATTACGGTGCATATTTGTTCAGCAAGAGAGCAAATTCAATCTTTAAATTCCCCATAGTTTGTTCATTTTTGAGGGATAATTTTGAGCACCGATTTATAAAAAATTACTCTATAACGACGACGAAAATGTAGTAAATATACTAAAGTAAACTAATTAATTGTCTAGGATAAGGCTGTGAAAATTAAAATTAACTATTATCATCGAAAATAAGTATTCTTATTTCGTTATTGGTTTCTGTAATGTCTCATTGCCCACAAACATATTCTGTAGATATCCTGGAATTTTTATAGAAAAGACGACATTCGAAGAGTTTGAAGAAATCTGCTAACAAATTCATTACGAATAAGAAATTCGATAAAAAGAAAATTTATTCTAACATTGATTTATTGAGAAAATTTCAAGAGAGAAATATGTTCCTAAACATCTAATTAGTTTGATGTAGAATATTTTTTTTTTTTTTGTCGTCGTTATTTAGTAATTTAAAAAAATTGATTCTCAAAATGTAACCACACAAATGAATTATTTTTAACGTCGACTTTGCGCTCAAACTCAGTTATTATACATTATTAATACGTTGTATATGTCTCAAATGAATCCAAATTTTTTTCCCACAATATCATATTCTCAGTTCAACTATAACCATGCATTGCTCTCTTTTTACGAAATATTATTTTATGTGGTTTCTTCACATTCTCTTGTTGTTTTCCGATTTCTGAGATTTAAATCTACGCAATTCATTGACCCCAAAGAGAAAACTCTAGAGTTTCGTTCAACGATACTATTTTAAACTTCCTTCTCTACTTGAACTCGTTGTACAAAAGTTTGAAAAGTATTAATTACAAGCTTTTTACAAATGTCATCCTTGATCCCACAAACCGGAGGGTCACTTTAAATAAGCGAGCAGTCATTTTAATTTTGCAAGAAATAATCCTAACCTTATATTTTCCCACTTCAGAAGAACTAAATTTGTTGACAAAAAATTAAAACAATTATAAAATTAATAACAATTTTAATACTTTTAAGATTGGATCTATTTAAACTTTTTGGGTTCTATGTAGCTTAGCCGAGAGATTGATATAAAAAGCTGCAGTGTACTAAATCTTAAAAACAAGTTTAAGTTTTTAAATTATCATTATAATAGATTAACTTTGGGCTCACAAATCGGAAGGAAATTGGAGAAAAAAGCACATTTATTTATTAAACTCAAAATAGAAATTTCTTATAACAAATCATGAGCTATATAAAAACAATAATGATAAAAACAACAAAAAATAATTGTCTTAAAATTGAAGGGATTGTAAAAATAAATTTTAAGCTCGGATATCTGCCAATCCGGAGTGTATTGTGAACATAACTTGTGCCCCGCGACAAAAAAGATATATTTTACGTCCAAAATGTGTTTAAAAATTTTTCTTCTACTTTTAGAAAGAAAATATTAATGTTTTTAAAATTTAAAACATCTTGCTAACAAAGTTTTTCAGGACTAAAAGCGTTTTTTTAGGTTAACATGAAAAAGTTCGATTACCTTGATAAGTCAAAAGTTTAAAGTGTACTATGTGAATCAGAGTGTCACTTGAAATTACATTTACAATTCCTTTAATCCCTTTAATCCCTTTAATCCCTTTAAGATAATAAGAAAAGAATTGGAAAAAAATCACGAAATAATCAATAAGCTGAATCTAGGTTTAAATCTTTCTTATTGCATGTAATAACAAAATATCTCGACAAAATATATATTTTCCATTGTCTCTCTTGTGATATGAAGACTAATTCAACTTTTATATATCATTAGAAAACTTTTTTTTAGCAAATCTAAATTCTGATTTTCTTAAAAACTGCCTTATTTTTGAGAGCAATATTAATATTAAAAATACAAATTACACGTAAAATACACTTAAGTTTTGAAGGGCACCCTTGTGTGAAAATGAGCAATGTGTTAAAGATAAATTGCTAAAAACGATTTTTGTTTGTTAAAATCTGTAACGCGCAAGTAATGGCAATAAATTTTGTGACTTTTATAATATTTTCTTATTCTTCAGACTACTCTAATCAATTTTTCTCTTCTTCCACAATACGAAAAGTGACCTAGTTTACCTGCTAAAAACGACCTCTTTTTTATAGATTAATATATTAATCTTATGTAGAATTGAAATAATGATTTGAGTTGTGCTTTTTTGCGTGAAACGACTGGATTTTTAAAAAGCACACTTTGAAGGCCCTAAATATACCATTTAAGAAGGTAGTTTTGCCCGGAAGAGTCAAATGTGTATAGCGGAGGCTCGTTTACTGCATAGCGGAGGCTCTTACTTATTGGAGGAGGCTCAGTCTGCCTAGCAAATCAGGCAGGCTCGTTTCTGCATTACGGAAGCTCATCGCGCCCAGGGGTTTCCTCCCTCCATGTACAAGCAATATATAATAATTTTGAATTTTTAAATGGATAGTTTTTTTGAAAATTAATAGTAAAACGGATTTCTTGTTTTAAGTAAAGGCAACTAAATTTCATTTGCTAAATTTGCCTAAAATTGTAAAAAAGCATTTGCGCTTGGAAACCTCATGTCAAACTAAAGAAGAATTACACGTGTGAGAATGAAATCTATTGAGATTAAATGTTTCGAATAAATTAACAAATACATTTTCTTTGTTCATAGTTGTTCTAGAGGGGCTACGAAGTCATAAAGTCGCGCCAGAATTGTATCAAACGAGTTTGACCTTGTCAGTTAATTAATGAGTCCGAGTTGAAGAAGAGATTTGTTTGTGCTTTCAATCAATTCTGTCTTCCATCTCCAGAGGGTTGTATCCTTTACTGTAGGGGTCGTCTTCAGACAGAACTTTGTGTGGTATTGTACAGGACACGACATTCTAAAATTATATTTAGATAATCATAAGCTCATGGGACATTAGTTTCAAACCGGGATTTGGCCCATTTCTAACACGCTACTCGATTAGCAGGTTTGTAGAATTCATCAAATTGTACAAAAAATCTTATTATTGTATTGTTTTTCACATGGAGAACCAAATCTAACGTTTACATCGTAGAAAAATAAATTAAATGGCAAAAATTGGCTTTATTTGTTTGTTTTTTGTTAGCTTTTCCCATAGTCAACTTTAGTACTAGAGCTTTCAGAAACGTCTGTAAATTATCATGCCATGCTGGACAAATTCACCATGCTCATGATCACCAAATAACTTTATGGGTTTGGAATGATAAGGCCATAATTTCCAAAATTATTCGAATGATTTTGTGGAAAATTATAGAAACCCAGTAGGAACATTTAATAAGCAAGCTACCAAATCTGATTGACAAAATTTGACCACAAATAAAATGTATTTTCTGACCTGTAGTGGTTTAGTTGTCCGATGCTAAGATCAACTGAATACTGAGCACATTTCGAACTTTTCAGGCATATCAAGGAATAATGGTTGGCAGATATCAGGGTCTGTAAAAACAAATCAAAAACTATTTATACACATTTTTATATTTTAAAAATAATAACAAGTATTAACTAGATATTAACTAGATTACCGCAAGATCAACGCTTTCAAAAAATTTGGAATTTCTAAAATTTATTCATGGAGAGCTAAATTTTAAATCGCGGGTGTTCAGTTTGATATAAGAATATTGAATTGATAAACCTGGCGTGTATTCTGAAATGATTTGCTGGCAAAATTAGGAGGATGATGTTCTAGAGATCTAAGATAAATAACAGTTTTCAACTCAAGTACAGGGTTACCCACAAAGGATGAGACTGTAAAGACGACCCAACAGTAAACAAATAAGACGATTTAAAGCTTGATTTCTGGTTTCTGCATTCAATTGAGTATTTTGATGGTATACTAAATAATTAAGCACAGAAATATGCCAGTTTTGGCCTACAAGGAACCCTGAATGCAAGATAAAGGACTATAAAAATTCAGTACAGTCGTCTCTGAAGTCTCATCCTTTGTGGGTTAACCTGTACCTAACAAGAGCATCGACATTTTAAACACAAAAATCCATTTGTTTGGAAACAAAAACTGGATCATTCGCCCATCATCATTCAGAACCATTTATGCATACATCTGATAAACAAAGCAAAGTATACAATTATGTAGATGTGCATATATATATAAAGTTGTAATCTCTGTTTGTCTGTCTGTCTGTCTGTTTGTTTGTCCGATCATAACTCAGAAATCTCTGCTTGTATGTCTGTTTTTTTTGTCCGATCATAACTCAGAAATCTCTGCTTGTATGTCTGTTTTTTTTGTCCGATCATAACTCAGAAATCTCTGCTTGTATGTCTGTTTTTTTTGTCCGATCATAACTCAGGGACCCCTAGACCAATTTGCCTCAAATTTTGATTGGGGAACTCGGTAAACCCACGTGAATGTTCTTAGCTTAGCTTTTATTGAGATTCTATGTTGAGTGGGTCGACTTTATAAGCGAAAATGTCGCCAATTTTAAAACTTAAATGTTAGAGCATGTTGTTGTCAGGTGGAATTTCACCAACCTGTAAACTTGTTGCAGCATGTTGTTGTCAGATGGAATGTCACCAACCTGTAAACTTGTTTCAGCATGTTGTTGTGCAGTGGAATGTCACCAACCTGTAAACTTGTTGCAGCATGAAGTTGTCAGATGGAATGTCACCAACCTGTAAACTTGTTAGAGCAAGCAGTTGTAAGGTGGAATGTCACTAAATTGTAAACTTGTTGTTGTCAGATGGAATGTCACCAACCTGTAAACTTGTTGCAGCATGAAGTTGTCAGATGGAATGTCACCAACCTGTAAACTTGTTGCAGCATGTTGTTGTCAGGTGGAATGTCACCAACCTGTAAACTTGTCGCAGCATGTTGTTGTGCAGTGGAATGTCACCAACCTGTAAACTTGTTGCAGCATGTTGTTGTGCAGTGGAATGTCGGTGAAAGGTCCCTGACTGTTGGCATCCTTGTATTGCTGTAGAAAATACCCATTTCGGAATGTCAAACTGGCTTTGTTTAGGGACACATTTCTCTACAAAAGTATTTACATTTTTACATTTTCATATTTTTCAATATCAACTGATTTGATTTCTTATAAAACGTGGATGTTAAACTTTTTCTCTACACATAACTCATGTTAACTTTGTCCATGTGAATATAATGAAATATCAGGGCCTGTGGACAAAGTGTTTGAGTCTTAGCCACCAACTCAAATTTTCTAGTCACTACATCTTTGCAACCTGATAGTGTAACCATTTGATTTTTAAAATTTTGTTTATTTGATATAACAAAATTCTTAGTTTAAAAAAGGAATTAGACAATTTTAGTTTGTGTCAACTCACTTCCTTAATATAGTAAGATATAATTAAAATGTGAGAAGTTTTTTCTGTGAATATGAAATATCAGGTTTACTTTGTCTATGGAAAAAATTATCTATTTTGTGTGTGGAAAAATATCTTTAAGTTTATCATCAAATATTAGGATGTTGCTTTCTATATGTACAAATTAATACTTTGTTTTACAAAATGCCGATTTTTACAAACTCTTCCATTAAATTAAAGAAAATAAATAAAAAGAATTTAAATCTTAACTCTTTGAAGTTCTTCTAAAATATCCATCCAAGTTCTGTTTTGTGTTGGAACAATAACTTCATCTATATCCATTACAGCAAAATAGTCAAATCTACAAAAAAATATGAATTTTTTAAAATGATTTTTAATTTAAATCTCACCCGCAAACAAAAAAGTTTAAAAGAGAACAAGGGACAAATTTATGTTTAATAAGTAAAATTGTGACAGCTTTTTTTGAACATGTACCGCGAACTGTTAAATCAGTGACTCCAGGAACAGGAACTAATTATGAACAGATTAACAATTCAAAAGATTTAACCTGTACATATTTGAATACAAGCAGTCCTGGTGGGGCATCAGTTCGGATTGAAGAACATTGTTCTCAAGTCCAAGATGATCTGTTTCATTCGGTTTGTGCACTAGACATTAGATATAATACGAAAGAGATGTTTATATTAAACAATTTTGAAAGCAATTACTTTTCTTATATTATGCCAAAGAAATGGAGCTTTTGCCACAAACTCTGATTTTCTAGTACCATGATATCTATGCAACCCAATGGCGTAGATCTTAGATATTTTAAACTATGAATTCTGTTAGATCAAATATTTCAACTTTGAAATGCCAAAGAATTACATAATCTGGTTGCAAGAATAGAGCTAGAGATTAGAAATTTAATTTTGTGGCAAAGACTTAATTCCTTTGGACCCTGGCCTGGTAGGGAAAATAAAGCAGAAAATGATTCAAAAACAAACCTAGACCAATGGAATCCACGTAAATATTTAGGACACAATAAAACATTTACAACTTTATATTTCAAACTTCGAACTTCTATCTAACAGTGTCGAATTTAATGAATTTGAGCCGCGTCTTAAATCCGCTAAAGACTGGTTTCAATTGAGCGCCGGGTTAAATCTTGAAACATTGAATACGATTTTAAATGGAACCAACCATATTTAAGCCGCGGCTCAAATTCTTTAAATTCGGCCTCAGATTTCATAGTTTAGTTGGTAAGAAACACGGATAAAGAAAATTGGAGTTTGTTGCAAGTGTTCAATTCCATTCAAAATAATTGCCTTGGACAATTTAAGAAAATGATTTAGCAAAATTAGAAAAATCTAGACGCCTTGTTGAACTTTAATACCTGGAAAGGAGAAATAATTGAGTTTGACAAAACCAGACTTTTCATAGAACTTTAAAGTCTATTAAGTAAAATGTTGTTAAAAATACGTTTGTAAATTAATAATAAAGATTAGCAATCTTTCTCGTACATTGATATTAAAGGAACTGTTTGTGTAATTTCAAGTGACCCTCCAGACAAAGATGTCAATGCCCGATTAACAACGGTACGCTTAAAACCTTTTTTGATCAATAATGTCGGAAATATATTTTTTTTATCGATTAAAGAAAGATTAATGTTTTCCTGCTGTAGAAATGCACCAGTCAATGCTTTTGAGGGAGGAACCCTTTGTGCATCTGGCATTGCAATCTTTGCATGGAGGGTCACTTAAAATACCGCATACAGTCCCTTAAATTCTTTCACCAAATTTTCCAGTTTTCCAAAAATTTTGTATTTTTGTTTACATTGTTAAATTGTAATTACATACGTATATATTTAAATATTTGATACAAAATGCAGGTGGATAAAAGTGAAAAAGTACCTTGTGAGTATTCGGATGCAAATCTGTTTCATAAATAAAAACTTTAGTCGCTCCTAGAATCCTCAACAGTTCCAGCCATTCAACTGACCGGAAAGGAATTGAGTTTTTGCCACAAGCTCAAATTTTCTAATCCCTCTATCTTTGCAACTTGACGGTGTGTAAACCTCAAACTCAGACTATATATTCTAACATAATTTAAAGTTTGAAATATTAGAGGTCTACAACATCAAGTTGCAAAGATTGAGGGATTAGAAAATCAGAGTTTGTGGCAGAAACTCCATTCCTTTAAATAATTTGAGCTAGGTCACGCGGTTTTAAAATTTTGGTTCTTATCCCTTCAACATGTGACTTTTGATCATAATTTGACCTATATTTAACATTACATAGTTCGCTTTTTTGTTATACTTTTTTCATCTGACATTTTTTTAATTCCACGGGCTACGCAGGGCACTTCAGCTAGTACCTCATAAAATTACCCGCAATACTGTACAAGTAAAAAAGGATTACCCACCTTATTTCCTAATACAAAATTTGTGTAAAACACTGAAGTTTTACTTGGGGATTTAATGTAATTTAAATTCCGATTATTTTGGGAATAAAACCCCCCCAAAAAATTATTTTATTCACCTAGTCTGAATGAAATGTCCTCTGTGAATGACATTGCTCTGAAGCAAACTGCAAACATATCCTTTGAACCCTCATGCTTTTTGTAAACAATACTAAAAATATATAATTATGTTTTTTAAGGGACTTATGTGGTCCTTTATTTGTAGAATGACATATCTGATTTAAAAAGGTATCCCTTTAACTGATCAACTATGGCAAAGTTATTCTTTTCCTTACAGGGACTGTAAAGGAAAAATGAAAGGGGGTATAGGCTGAAACCTGAGAATCTCAGGCGTTAAACGATACATATAAAACATCTATCTGATGTTACTGTCTCGAGAAATTGATATAAAACTGTGTCAAATTTATACCAAATTCACATATATACAGTTTTGTATAGATGTTGTAGTATTAAACAGATCATATTCAACAAATACGAAACCAATCTGAACACGGCGATATCCCACAGGAGCCTGAGAATTTCAGGTTTGCTCCTATTATAATTTTAAAATCTTGTTTCGCTACTTGGCGATTTCCCTAAAGACCTAATATATGTACCGTGTGGTATTTCTCAGGACTGGATCGTAAGACTCCCTTCTCTCAACGCTCTTCATAATAAAAAGGAAGATAGTAAGGTTCCGAACGTTTATTTCTCTGAGCCTTCAATCTAAACAAGTTTAATAAACCCACAGAAAAAGCTTTGAGTGATAATCATACAATTACAACAAATAATTCACTCAGGCATTAAAAAACTGTGGCTAGGAACCAATAAACATATACACAATTATCAATCATACTATAATCAAACCGATAAGCATAAATATATATAAAATAGTTACCACGGTGATCCCAGAATTCTGAACACGGATAATACTTGCAAAACGAATAAACATATACTGATATAATTTTAACTACTATTCCGCGAGAAATCTTGCGTCTGCGCAGTCGGACTGTAAACAGTTCCTAAACTAGTTCTTTCACAATACATTCCGTACAGATCTTCAGGAGGAACTCAGAAATACACAGGGGCGACAAACAGACTTTCTATACGCAGCATGGCTCGCGTAACAAATCTTTATTTTGCATTTTTAATAGATATGATTGATAATATAATTATATATAGTCCATATAGTCCGTATTACGTCACCAAAACTTCAGTCAATGGCAGTGTAGTATCGTTGTCACTTGCTACAGCCTATACCCCCTTTCATTTTTCCTTTAAAGTCCCTCGAACTAGAGTTTAATTTTACCCGCAGAAGCCCTTGTAAACTTGAGTATTAATAACATTGTAGGCAAGCTATTTCATTTTTTATAGATAGTCTATTTTGTTTAAAAATCATTGTGTGATCCCTTCAAATAAGCGATCTTTGTTTTACTTTAAACTATTTATACTTAAATCTATTACACTTTAATCTATTCATACTTTAGTCTATCTTTACTTTAATCTACTATACTTTAATCTATGTATAATTTAATCTATTTATACTTTCATCTGTTTATACTTTTATCTATTCATACTTTCATCTATATATACTTTAATCTATTTAAACTTTAATCTATTCATAGTTTAATCTATTTATACTTTAATCTACTATGCTTAAATCAATTTATACTTTAAACTATTATACTTTAATCTATTTATACTTTAATCTATTATACTTGAATCTATTATACTTGAATAATCTATTTTTACTTCAATCTATTTATACTTTCATCTATTTATATATTAATCTATTTTTAGTTTAATCTATTTATACTTTAATCTATTTTCACTTTAATCTATTATACTTTAATCTATTTATACTTTAATCTATTATACTTTAATCTATTTATACTTTAATCTAGTATACTTTAATCTATTTATACTTTAAACTACTATACATTAATCTATCACAGTATAATCTTTTTATACTTTAATCTACTTATACTTTTTTCTTTTACACTTTCATCTATTTATACTTTAAACTATTTATACGTTAATCTAATAATACTTAGATCTATTTATACTTTAATCTATTATACTTTAATCCATTTATACTTTAGTCTACTATACTTTAATCTATTATACTTTAATCTATTTATACTTTAAGCTACTATACTTTAATCTATTACACTATAATCTTTTTATACTTTAATCTATTTATACTTTAATCTATTACTTTAATCTCTTTGTATTTATCTACTGTGCTTTAAAGTATTTATACTTTAAATCTATTAATACTTTAGTCTACTTATACTTAAATCAAATCAACTTTAGTATATTTATACTTAAATCTATTAATACTTTAATATATTTATACTTAAATCTATTAATACTTTAGTATATTTATACTTAAATCTATTAATACTTTATTATATTTATACTTTAATCTATTTGTTGGTTGTTTAGTTCTTCTTTCCTCCACCAGGGAAACTGCAGTTGGGAACTCAGACTTTAGCTGAACATGAAAAAAAATATCTGTGCTGGAAACTCTTGCATTGTGAATATTGAGATCCATACTTTTATTAATCTGCAGATTAATTTAATCCTAATAAGATATTCAGGAAAGTGTCTAAGATTCAAACAATGAGAGTGTAGTTTGTGGAAATCGAACAGCCAATTAGAAGCAGGGATTTTTACGCCCAACCAATGAGAAAACACAATTTGGTCAGAACCCAGTAGGGATATCCAAAAGATTAAACAGAAAATCAAAAGGGATAAAAAAGATATAGAAATTAAGCTAATGGGATTAAGGGTATTAAGAGTGATATGAGTTGTTCATTTATTACTGTGACATATAAGGATCAGCTGATCAGAACTTGTTTGTTGTAAACAATTTAACAAATATTGTAAACAAAGTAAAAATATTTCAGAGATGGGATTGTGAATATCGAGATCAATGAATGATTTCGATCTTTTGTTAATCTACAGAGTGATATATAATCTTTATTCAATATCCAGTAAAGAGTTTCGTCTCTGGAAAAGGTAGAGCCAATCAGAAGCCAGCGAATTTTGCGTTCAACCAATGAGAGAACAGAGAGTATATTTAAATCAAGAGATCAATTTGATTTTGCGTAAAATTCAAAAGTGTTCAGTGTGGATATCAAGATCAAGATGAGGTGTATCCAACACAAAAGTGTTCAGTGTGGATATCAAGATCAAGATTAGGTGTATCCAACACAAAAGTGTTCAGTGTGGATATCAAGATCAAGATTAGGTGTATCCAACACAAAAGTTCCCAGCTCTGAGCCCGCAACTTATGCCAGGGTATCGTCATGAAAGCCAGGATAGGAAACCCGGTTTCATGACTCCGACATGTGAATTTACAAATGAGTATTTTATATTCACTCTTTATTTTGTCGACGAAGACTTGGGAGTTTCTGAGTAGTGCTGAAACTGTTATACTACACTGTGTCCCAATAAACATGGGAATTCAGTGACCAATTCGATATCGTCTTTTTAATAATTCTTTGATTTAGTATAGTGATACCTACTGAGAAAGCTGTAATCTTTAAGAGTTTCGTCTGCTATGTTAACAATTTTTTTTTAATGTTTTGACTGCATACGGTTGTACTTGGTAAAACAAGAAAATTGCAGTATACAAACAGAGTAAACTTGTCCGTCTTTACTCTTCACTGTTCATCTTGCTGATACATTATAGACATATCTTTACAGTCTTCTACCCTTTTCATAAAATAAACTCTAGCAGACATAATAATATGGCTTTTGAAATTAGGTATTACAATGCTAATTCATAACAAAGACGATATCCAATTTGTCACTGAATCCCATGTTTTTTGGGACACCCTGTATATTAGCGACAAAATAAAATCGTATTTACAAATACAGATCAAATAAACTAAGTTTAAAAGTTTTTAAAAAGTAGATTTCTTACCTTTGGCAGGATGCAAGAAAGCATATAGGGTTGGTAAATTGTACTTCGCCGTTTTTTGTCTTTAATTTTTCCAAATTTAAAAACATCGATCCGTACATATTTAACCTAAAATTATACAGATCCGTACATATTTAACCTAAAATTATACATATCCGTACATATTTAACCTAAAATTAGACAGACATCTATCCATAGAGAATAGAATATATAGAGAGGAATTTACTAGAAAAAAATGTAAAACGGCCATTTTGTTGTACTGTTTCCATACTGTATGCCCCCCCCTGTGTACGCCCTTGAACATACTGTATTAATGTACTCTACTGCATATAATTTGTGAACATTTACATGATTTGTACACTTTGAACTCCCTTTCAGTCTGAAAGGGACTGATAAAATTCATACCGAGAGATTCTTTTAATTCCTCTCTATATATTCTATTCTCTATGCATCTATCCGTACATATTTAACCTGAAATTATACAGACATCTATCCGTACATATTTAACCTAAAATTATACAGACATCGATCCGTACATATTTAACCTAAAATTATACAGATCCGTACATATTTAACCTAAAATTATACAGATCCGTAATATTTAACCTAATATTATACAGACATCGATCCGTACATATTTAACCTAAAATTATGCATAAACTTTTCATGTTCCACAAAATAATTTAGATTAAATTAGATAAATATTTAATGGAAATCCATTATTTAGTTGTACTTTTAACAATGTTTAATTTATACTTTCTGAAAATGCATTAACCTTTATTTAGAGAACTCCTAATTCACAACGGTACCCTAACATCTTTACCGGATCCATAGTTGAAAATAAATCATCATTTTAATATAATAAAGAATCAATCAAAAATATATATCTAATTTAAGAGAACACCGTGGTGAATCACACACTGCTGAAAACGCTTGACATACCTTTCTAACAACAATCTCAGTCAGTTTGCTGTAGTGTAGCTGGCAATAGGTCGCAATCTGCACATTAGAAGTAATTTAAAAAGAAATACGTTATAATGCAATGGGGAGTATTGGGTAACAACGCTTTTATCGAGCTCAAGAAATCAATTTATATAAAGTAGTAATCTCTATCTGTGTGTTTATGTGGCCGATAATAACTCATGAGTCATGAATCCTTAACCGATTTGCCTCAAATTTTGACTAAAACTTGGTGGAGCCACATGTTTAATAGTTCGTAGTTACATAAGTAAAAGAAAACTTCGTTGGTAGCCAAAGCTGGATTCCCAAGCTAGTTAGTTAGAGATAAATAAATAAAGTAATTTGTTGGAATTCATTGTACCAATACGAGAAGAACGATTATATACGAAAAAGGCTATTTCCACTATGAACATTTGTTGCAAAAAACGTGCTGGGTACGTTGACTCTACACTGGGTTGCCTGAATGGACAGCATGTACGTACGACTAAATGACAGTATGTGTTGTACCGGCAAGGATCATGCAACTTTTAGACTGGTGTGAGAGCTGATGCGACTTGAGGGGGCGCTACCACAATGAGCATGTACCTTGCAATACTTAAATTTGCGCCAGCAGCCACTCAAAATAAATTTTTTATACAAATAAAAGCATAATATACTAATAACAGAAAAAATTTAATTTACTTTTAATAATAGAAAAAAGCATAACTTTCTAACATTACTTATTGAAAAAAGGCATAATTAACCATTAATAAAAGAAAAAAAAAACATAATTTTCTAGTTTTAATAACAAAAACAATATAATTCACTGTATATAACAGACAAAATGGATAATTTATTATTAATAACAGAAAAAAACATAATTTACTATTAATAGACGAAAAAAAATTTACTATAAATAAAAAAATTACTATTAATATTAGAAAAAAACATAATTCACTATTTAACAGATAAAAGCATAATTCACTATCAATAACAGAAAAAATCAGAATTTACTATAAATATTTATAAAAGAACATAATTTACTCTTGAGGACAGAAAAAAAACATAATTTACTAACATTAATAAAAGAAAGAACATATTTTACTTTTAATGACAGAAAAACAGACAAAAAAGGATAATTTATTATTCTTCACAGAAAAAAAATCATTTGCAAGTATAAATAACAGAAAAAAAGCATAATTTACTAATATTAAAAATGAAAAATCTGACCCTTGGTGGATGTTGGTTGAAAAAGCCAAATATTCGAACTGTTGGTTCTTCTCTAAATAAAACAAAATAAAAAAATGTAAAAATTTTAGTTTGTCAATGATAGTTTTAAAAAATGTTACTGCTAAAGGATGATATTAAAAAACAATCGTCAACAATTTTTTAGTTTTAATTAAGAGATTAATCATATTGCAGCAATGACTTAATCTTATTCTTAAGTAAGTATTCCTCCTCAAACATTATACAATGGTGAAACACATTTTGTCTGCAGTTTAGTTTTAGAACTTTTGAATTTGAAAGTTATTGGTATTAAAACATATTAAATTCAAAACTCCGTGGAAGACACAACAAGGTGAATGGAAAGGCATGGTAACCTAGTTAAGGATTGAAGAAAGCTTTGATCAGGGGAGGACAGGGGAGGACTAACTCAAGTTAAGATTTGGAAAGGTAAAGTTTTTTATAGATTCACAAATTAAAAGTACATACAATGATACAGAGGATATCGAGATCAAACGATCGGGATTATGAGTATGCAATACAAAAGTTCTGATAGATAAAATGGTCAAAGTTTGAAATCCACGTCAAACTAGAGGAAATTGCACGTCAAACTAGAGGAAATTGCACGTCAAACTAGAGGAAATTGCACATCAAACTAGAGGAAATTGCACATCAAACTAGAGGAAATTGCAAGTCAAACTAGAGGAAATTGCACATCAAACTAGAGGAAATTGCACGTCAAACTAGAGGAAATTGCACGTCAAGCTAGAGGAAATTGCACGTCAAACTAAAGGAAATTGCACGTCAAACAAGAAGAAAATTGCTCCTCAATCTAGAGAAAATTGCACGTCAAACTAGAGGAAATTGCACGTCAAACTAGAGGAAATTGCACGTCAAGCTAGAGGAAATTGCACGTCAAACTAAAGGAAATTGCACGTCAAACAAGAAGAAAATTGCTCCTCAATCTAGAGAAAATTGCACGTCAAACTAGAGGAAATTGCACGTCAAACAAGAAGAAAATTGCTCGTCAATCTAGAGGAAATTGCACGTAAGATTGAAATCTTATATGTATTTTTTATAATAACTCTTTGCTTATTGAAAAGCTTTTGAAAAAATGGTCGTTTCTCATAATCTATATATACATAAAAAAAATTTAAATCCACAAGTTTTTTTTATAAAATCCGCGAAAATTTAAATAGAGGATGGGCATTGGGCACGAAGCGCCCTAAAAGCCTGGTTATACATAAAATCAAAACTGGAGAAGGTAGAAGGCCACAAAGAAGTATCGCATAAATGCCACATTGATTTAAACCAACAAGGTAAAAATATACTGATCAGAAAACTAGAGTTTGCGGCGAGTAATCAGTTTCTTTACGATATTCTTTAACTTTAACTTAAAAAACTTTTAGAGGAAACCGTGTGATCCCATGGAAGTAAGTCTTATTTTTCATTGACTTTTTTATTTCTACGGGCAACGCCAGGCCCTTGAACTAGTACGTTATGAACCTGAGATCTAGAAAGGCCTTGTATAGAAGAAAGTTCCCGTCTGATGTGAGTAATTCTTGATAAACTGTTTTATTAAACCTGTGTTCTACAATCTTGGATTCCAAGCTAAAAAAAATCTATATAATTATACTTTATTTTTTTTCCTCGTAAAATATCGAAATATTTCCAATTTATTCAATGACGTATCAAATGAACGAATAACGGTTTTTTTATTTTTCAAACTGACGAATAAACTAAAAGAACTGTTAGTTTTAAACTTATGAAAAACGAAAAACGAAACAACGATGTTGTACTAAAAAACGATAGTATGATCGAAAAAAATTACTATTTCGTTTTTCATAGATTTTAGTAAACGATTCGTTTTTCGTTTTTTTCCAGTTCGTTGGCGAAGCGATCAGTTCCTGTCTTCAGAAAAGTAAAAACTTTAAAAACGATGGTATGATGGAAAAAAAATTACTATTTCGTTTTTCATAGATTTTGGAAAACGATTCCTTTTTCGGTTTTCTAATTCGTTAACAAAACGATCAGTTCCTGTTTTCAAAAAAGTAAAAACTTTAAAAACTATGGTATGACAGAAAAAAAATTACTATTTCGTTTTTCGTTTTTTCTAATTCGTTGACAAAACGATCAGTTCCTGTTTTCAGAAAGTAAAAACTTTTTATTCCTAAGAGGACCTCTCTTTAATCTATGTAAAAAATACCTTTGACTGACGAGCATTCCAGAATCTCTTATTTTGATATTATTCAGATAGAATACATTAAACAATTGTAAACATAAAACTGGAATCACAAACATCAAAATAGCTTTCACTGAAAAAAAGATTTTTTTTACTAATTTTACAAATATTTAGATTTTATTTAGATAAAATATTTTTACTCCTGTTCAGTGCACAAATCATGTTTCTTGCTGCTCTGAAAAAATAGCCAAGCATTGTTTTAATCTTAAAAAAAACTTTTTTGAACTTCAAAGTTCACATATTTTTCCATATTATATGCATCAAATAGATTATCAAGTTAAAAAGGTGGAAATAGAGAAATGGACCAATTATACATTACGTCACAAGTGTCAAATATAACATTTTTCCCCGGTTAGTTGACATGTTTTCCAAGATTAAATTAAAAAATGTAAAAACAGAAAATAAATAACACAAAATCGCACTTATTTCAATGTAAGATAAGCACTTTATTATCATTATTATTTATATTTTTGTCGGACACATACTCTGTTGGCACTTGTGACGTAAGAATACAGCTGTACTGAGTGTACAAATTCTACAGTGCCATCTATTGTACTTAATAATCTATTAGATATATATAATATATATTAACTAAAGAAACTGAAGACTTAATTTAAATTGACCCTCTTTGTAAAATATTGCATACAAGATTCACAGCGCTACCTTTTCATCATTATTCTAAGTAAAGATTATATATTTGCATTTCTTTTTTTATATTATATTGATGGTTTCTCTGTAACAGGGACTTTTTGGGGTTTTACGCAGTAAAAGAGAAGGAAATTGACAGAAAACAACAATATTCTCTTAATTTTTGCTTAGTATATGATTTGGAGAGGCCGTACCGTTTTTATTGGCCATGCAATGGGCATGCTGTAATTTAATTCTTTAAATAGCGGGCTAATTATAATTCTATAGTTCTGAAAAGGGTGAATGCCAAACAGAAAAAATGTTTTAATAATTTAAATGTATGGATGCTACGTTCTTCGGTATGAGTAGTTTTTAACAATTTTCTTATTATAGACACAACAGATAGAAGTAAGATTAGTAGCGATCACCATTGATAATTTGTCGTCGTAATCCTACCCCCTTTCATTTTTCGCGAACACTTCCTTTAACCTTATCAAAGCATAGCCAGCTTTAGAAGAAAAAAAATTATTTTATAAATTGGTCCATTTTTTTAACTTTACCTAAATATATAAAGCAGGAATTGTATGCCCGATTTAAACTCATGAGAGGGGGGTAGTACAGAGGCCTATAACCTCTTCCATTTTTCGCGAACACTCCCGTTCATTAAAAGAAAAATGAAGAAAGATAAGTGAAGAAGATCATGAGAAAAACTCAAAAGTTCAAAAAGAGACAATTCATTTTTCATTTTTGTCTGACTAAGGACCTGACCATGGTCGAAAAACTTGTTGAACTGAACTCTTTTCCATTAGAAAGTTTTAGAAAATAATTATTCCAGAACTCACATGCATTGATTAGATTTAGTCCTGGGCACTGCAGGTTGACTGAAACAAAAAACTGAAAAAAAATATTTTATTGTAACCAGTGTGAGCTCAATAGCTCGGAAGAAGGATAGGTCCGTTGATGTAACCCCTTCAGTTCTAATACAGACCCGGAGCTAAGCTCGGATTGGATAATTCTATTGATGCAACCTCTTCAGTTCTGATACAGACCCAGAGCTAAGCTCGGATTGGATAGTTCTATTGATGCAACTCCTTCAGTCCTCATATGGAACCGGAGCTAAGCTCAGATTGCAAGTAGTCCGGCGTACAAGCATGGCAGCTTATTAGCTCTTTATATATAGCTGTAGGTCAGACAGAAAGTAGGACGAATAATAAGTCGACCCCGTGTACAGTGTATCAAGATATTTTTGTCCGTTAAAAGATGCCATCCTAGAAAACATGATTCCAACGCGAGTTTCAACGCATGGAAAAGCAAGTAATCATTGACCTGAGTTCTTTTTCAGATACAAGCTTATTGGCATAAACCACGGCTTGAATCACGAGGGCATAGAAAATAAGGTCGGCCAGTAATGACGATGGATCGGAAGGAAGAAGATTAACACGCCGTATGAGGCGAATGAAAGGCGGAGAGTCCGCCAGAGAGCTCCGACTTTCCACGTTTCATTAGTATTTATTCTTTTTTTACTTGTAAACACATTTTTTCCTATACTCTGTAGATTTACTCACATTAGTTCCAGGCTTTGCATTTCCTTTATTTTTAACCACTTTTACATGGTAATGTTAGATTTATACAAAAAATGTTCTATTTAAAAATAATAATTTAGATAATTTTCATCTGTGAAAAATTATTTTCCTTTTTATAAAAACCAAAAATGTTTCACAAATGATTTTCAGAAAGATTGTAATTTTTAATTTGTAATTTGTAATTTGTTTGGATAAACGATGTCTCATCCTATAGTGGTGGTGTGTATATTGGAAGTAAAAAAGTTTTAAGTATTTTTGCACAAAATATTGGAATATTTAACTTTTTACATCAAACTTGATTAATAATTTATGATTTATATTTTAGATTCTGATCAAATTTTCGGAAATATAAAACATGTGTTTCTAATGTAAATATATATATATATGTAAATTGTAAAAAATTAATTAATGCAAACAAACAAATGAATAAATAAATAGATAGATATAAAAGATGGATTGAAATCGATCGAAAAATTGAACTTGGTTAAGTTAACCCTGTAAAGGCTNCCCCCCCTAGAAAAAGGCCCAAGAGAAAAGTAGATTTAGGGTTGAAATACATGCTCATAGTCCAAATTTTCAAAGCAAGCTCATTGAAAAAAATTGGACCGATAACTTTAATAGTTTGGGTGCGAGGGAGGGTTAAATTAATGTCAAAATAAAGGGTAAAAAAATATAAAAAGTTGGTTTTCGTTTTAATCAAATAGCAAGATGTGACACATGTTTCTACATGTTTCCAGGGCTTTTCAAAAATATAGTTTTTTGTGACTAAAGCTACAGATCTAGCTTTAGTCACAAAAAAGTTATAGGTAATTTTAGATTCTGTTTTTGCACGGACCGAACTTCTTACGTTACAAGTGCCAATTCAGTTTTTGTGTCCGACAAAATTATTAATAATAGTAATAATTTTAGAATAAAGTGCTTATCTTACAGTAAAATAAATGCAATTTGATGTGTTCTTTATTTTCTGTTTTTACACTATTTATTTTGTGACGTTGTGTATAATTGGTCCATTTCTCTGTTGCCACCTATTGTACTTGATAATCTACCTGGAATGTGTATAAACTTTCTACTATAAACATGTATCCCTGTTCTTTTGTCAGAAAACAAATTATTAGAAAAAATATTTGGAAATTAAGTGAAGTGAAAAATTGAAAAGTTAATAAACCTTTTTGTACAAAATAGTCTTTTTTAGTTCTAAATAAGATTTAAGCCAGGCCCGTAGCCAGGATTTATAAAACAATTCTTTAATCGTAATTTAATCTTATTAGGGGGAACATGTCCCGTTGCCCCCCCTCCTCTGTGATGATTTAAAATAGAACATGAAACTTAATTTAATTTATCGGAGTGAAATGTGAAAATTAGAAAAAACAAAAATAATTGAAATTAATTTAATTAAATCCAATTAAAATCTTCTTTGAAACTTGAAGACAGCATTTGGAATCTTTAATCGAAATAGAAAATGCACTTAAATAGATTTATTTTTTGAAGTTTTAAATAAACTTTAAAATTTACTTTGTTCTTATATTAGAGCACACTTAGACAGTTTTCCCACTTTCTCCGAACTATTTCTGATTTAAAAAGGTAGTTTATCTCTCATATGGGATAACGTTTTTCTCCATATTTAATTAGTACAAATTTTGTTGCCATTGTCTTTGAATAAACAGAAATCTAAATGTTAAAAATAAAAAATTCATAAAGGAAATGAGTCTTTGCTACAAACTTAAATGTTCTAATCCATACATCTTTTCCTGCCAGAAGGTGTTTTTAGATTATTTGATATTACAGAAATCATAGTTGGTAATATCAGAAGTCTACGACATCGGGTTGCAAAGATATCGAGTTCTGCAGAACAGAGTTTGTGGCAAAAACTCAATTCCTTCTTTATCTCTGTACATCTTAAAGTATATTTGTAAGTGTGTATACCCTGTAACAATTAGTAAAGGATTAGCGTACATCATCTCTCAATAAACTAAAACCTCATTAATATATACACGCGTATATGTAGTAACTCCGTACTAATTACTGTGAGAGAGTAAACCTGAAACCCTGTTTGATATAGCCAGGTTGGATCGTCGCCATCTTTTGGGATCGATATATACAAATACAAATAGATTATCAAGTACAATAGGTGGCAACAGAGAAATAAATCAATTATACACGACGTCACAAGCGTCAAATATAACAAGGAAAACAAAATTTTCTCACATTAGCTGATATGTTTTCCAAGATTAAATAAAAATGTGTAATAACAGAAAATAAAGAACACACAAAATTGCACTTATTTTACTATAAGATAAGCTCTTTATTCTAAAATTATCACTATTATTCATTATTTTGTCGGACACAAAAACTGAATTGACACTTGTGACGTAATAATACAGCTTTACTGAGAGTGTACAAATTCTACGTTACCATCTATTGTATTAGAAGCTATTTGGATATATATAGCTTGTGTGGCATTTAGAGTACTGAAACACTGTGTTGATAAGTAACCAGGTTGTAAGTGTGTAGTAGGACAGTCTTGGCATCGTATCAATAGGCTTTATTTTATGAGAACATTTCTGGATATATACATAAGAAGACCAAACTGTTTATCAGAACAGAAAATTTCTTAAAATTTTTTTAAGTACATAATACTTCATACACGTTTGTTCCGATATTTTGACATCTGTTTTGATATGGAAGCAGCAGTTTATGGTGACTATTCAGACACTTTTAAGATGCTGGTCTTACTGCTTAGCAAGATAAATTCAGCGACCTGTGAAGTAAATATTACTGCTTGTAAGAATAGATGACGTAAATATTATTGCTTGTAAGACCAGATGACTAAATTAAAACTTAAAAGAACAAAGTGCAGCTGGTATTCCGGTTAATCAGGTTAAATCTGCAATCTGCATACCACAAAGCAAATATTGTTGCTTATAAAATAGAATAAAATATTATTGCTTGATAGAATTGCATCAAATATTAATGTTTGTAAGAATTGAAGC